GGATCATGTTCAAAAATTCTTGAATCGTATTAATTACTGTATATGAATTCTCGTCTACTTATGGTTAAATTTTATCTTTTTATACCCACAATGAGGTGAAAAAATTAAATTAATGTTAATCAAAGAAAAGGTTAAATGTGTTACCAAGGCCTCTGCATTCATAGTAGGCATTGTTTCGAAATTTCAATTTATAACCTTATTTGATTCATCACATTTTGTGTACGTGTATAAAATTTTAACGCTGGACGGTTTAAATGCGACTGCGATGAATAACTGTGTGCTAAATTTATTATGTAGGAGCATTCATATACCATAACATACAGGATTACTTTGTTTTATGGTTTATCAGAATAAAATGCATAAGTGAGTTCGCATTATGTGTGAATTTTGCACAATGGTCGGAATCGTACCTCAAAGTATACTGTTATAGGAGATTGCTATGATAATAATGTCTAGAAAGACAACGATAAGGCGTAGGTATCTATTTTCAACAGTTTTTGCACAAATTTTTTAATGTAAGTGGAAATTAATGTACAATAGGGTAGAATTGTGATACTTAGTCAGGCTTTAAATACTGACACATTTGGAGGCCCATAATCAAAAATCCAGGTCTACAAATTCGGACAAACCCACTGAGACCTGCGTGAAGTTAGCCCCCCAACTCCAAAATAATTAAACGTCATGTACTTCCTTCGTTTGCACATTTAGGCACCACCCTAGCATATTTAAAAATTTTCATTACACATTTTTGTAATTGCGGGGGTTAACTTGATAGAGTTCGAATAGACAGACATATGAATCTCGAAAAGGGGCTATAGAGAAATTTTTGTTGCTATTTATTAGGCATTTTTCTATTTTTCTTTTCAAATTGTAAAGTGGTTCTCCTGGATACCTAAACAATCATTTTTGAAGTAAAAGCAAATCGAGTTTTTAGAATACCAATGTCAATGGTGTTTAAATAGGTACGAATTGTGCAGTTTTTTTTCTTTTCAATTTTTTCTTCTTTGTTTATACTACATTATCTTTTTTTCATTATTTTTTAGTCTTTTTCAAGCATGTATATTTATGTTTAATTAGATCATTAAGTTACGCGTCTCATGTTAAAAGATTTTGTCTCGGATTTTGTTTTGATTTATGCATATTATCACAGATTTAAATATTACATCTGTGATATTATTATGTCACAGTTTTACTGGAAGAGTGGAAGCTCGTCCATGGCGAACTATGTTCCATTTGTGAAAATTTTCTTTGTTTTTCACAATAAATTATTATTATTTAATAATTGATTAATAGTTTAATAATAGTTGCTGTGCATATTTTTTCATATTCACTATTGACAGTTCTAATTTGAATAATTACTTAGCTCATTATTTCGCACGCATATACAATAGAGGCTAAAGTTTCACCGTTAATTAAGTATGCTACTTTTATATACCCTTCGAACATGTCTGTAAAAGCGTTCTATAATAAAAAATCAAAAGAGTTTTCGCCTTAACGAGTAACTTTAGCGCAAAGCTCATATAACGGGGTATTTATGTGTACAAAGGAAAATAGTGTATGAGTATGGCATAAATATTATTATGAATAAAAAAACTTAGCATTGAGCAGTCTGCACATGCGCACACCTGATGTTTAAAATATGCTGATTTTTACAATATGCGATATGCTTGTCTGTACTAGAAGAATCTTTGGGTAAAATTTTAAATCTCTATAAAAAAGAAATTTGATATTTGCGCATGCGCACATTGATCGTTAAGATATTAAACATCTTAACGATAAATGTGCGCATGCGCAAATATGAATTTTTTTTTATAGATTTAAAATTTTACCCAAAGATAAAAAACCAAGAAATTTTCTTGGTTGAGGTGCCAAAGCTATACGCTACCGAATGTAAAAAGAACGAACTAAATATCTTGAGAACTCTAGGAGTAGGACCTCGGAGGGACGGACAGAGGAAGTGTATAATAGCGCCTTCCAACATGAGTTGGAAAATGCGCCAAAAATGGCGCTAAATAATTATTATCATGAAGATCGCCGCACAAATTTAAATGTTAATACTAAAGACGATGCGCCAACGAAATCTACAACAGAAATCACACACCCCGTTTCCGAAATAGAGAAACCAAAATCTATCAGTCGAAATTCATTTGGTGACATTCGATAAAAATGGATAAATGTAAACAACTCCATTTATTTTCTTCTTTATGGCGGCAAAATCGAATAAAATAAAATATACAGTCCTATTTTAAGGTTGGGGGCTAAAATCATGAATGATCATTGAATAAAGGAAAAATTTGTGCTTACAAGAGAAAATAAAATGAAAACGGATGAAATATGTAGCGCTTCATTATTTCAATGTGGGCTAAATTCGTGAAGATCCCTCCCCAAATTTGTTGTTTCAATATCTTTTTTTAGGGAAATGTGCACAGGAAAACCGCGAAGTGTTCCGAAAGGTACAATCAATGTGCAAACGAAAAGGAAGTACATGACGTTTCATTATTTTGAAATTGGGGAGGCTAAGAACGTGAAGGTGCCCCCCTCCCCCAAATTTGTTGTTTCAATATCTTTTTTTAGGGAAATGTGTACACGAAAAATCGCAGTGTGCCTAAATGTGCAAGCAATGTGCAAACGAAGGAAGTACATAACGTTTCATTATTTTGAAGGTGGGGGGTTAAGATGGACTCTCTTTTCATAATCACATTTAGTTTGGTAAAATGGAAAGTAGTTTTAATAACATATTTATAGTGATTAGCAAAATGTTAGAAATGGGATTTGAAAATGCAAGTGTTGCCAAAGACAAATTTAATTCCAGAAACCCATTCTAAACATAAAGTGTTATTGAGGAAATAAAAAGTTTCGACTTAACAAGACAAAGATTAAAAATTTGCTGTGGCTAGTACAGATACCACCCGCACGTTCCATAAGCCACAATATGCAAAAACGTCAAAAATGGGACAGTTTTTTGTTCTTTTGACACGCCAAAGAGCGCAACAGGTCTAAATTTTTTTGTATTCTCAAACACATTTTATTCCCTTTCTTTTCTGGATATAATTAAAGAATTATTAATAATTATTTTGACGGATCAACAAATTTCAATTTTTTTTTCTTACTAGTTCCAAGTAGGGTTAAGTGGAAGAACAGGGAATTGCTGTCAGCAATTCATCTGAACTTCGCCTTAGGATTCAACCATGTTTAGCACGATAGCAGTCACTTTAGTTTTTATTGTTATTTATTATTTACGTTATTTGGTTGAATAAAGACAATATTATTATTATTGTAAATTTGGTTCTAATCGGTTCAACCGTTTCGACCGAAATGCTGAGACAGGCAGACCCACAGACAGACCGACATCATCGAGAATTTATTTGATTCGGATTCCTAGTGCTTGAAAATGTGTACTTCCGTCAAAGCAGACGGAAGTAATTTTTTATCCAAATGCAGTACCTCCTTTACTAACGTGGGGGTGCGGGTTATTTTAAAGAACTTACTATTTTTCTGGGTTTAGATTTATGTCTCATCAGATAATATGATTGACCACTACTAACAATTGTATTGCAATAAATGTTGAAAATATGCAAACCAGTAGTTTTAGGTATACAGTGCGTTCATGATAAGAGGGTGAATATCTCTTATTTGGCGAGATACGAAAAACTTGTTAAATATAATTGTATATGTGACATTATTCGATCTATCTGATCACATATTCAAACTTCCGGTGTAACCGGAAATCCATGTAACTTTTGGGTTTTCAAATGCAATGGCTATATTTTTTATGATATTTGAAAAGAGCAATCAATTTGCTGCATGACAACATAAAATATGCATATGGTTGATATACAATAAAAATAGAGAAATTCGTTATTCACTATTTGGAAAAATCCCTTTCCGATTAAACCGGAAGTGGTACCGAAAATTTGAATATGCGAACGCACTGTATATGTATCCTATGTGATATAGTTTAATCACCTAATAAAATCATGTAATAAATACATTTATGTTATTATGTAGGTACTTACAAAAAACTGATGTCTTTATAGCAAAATAATGAAAAAGTAATTTTTCTCGACTAACGGTTTGGGTTGTCAAAAAATTAATAATAAACAAAGTTATAGTTTCTATAGCTCTTACAATTTTCGCTAAAACGCCCACAAACGGAATAATACTGGAGTAATGGTGTCCATTTTGAATGACGATTTCTGAGAGTACGTGGGGGGTAGGGAATGTCCGCCCAAGTTTTCTTTGTTTCCTATTCACCCAAGTAACTGACCCACAAATAATTTTCTTTATATACGCATATTGGCACACAGAAGTGTTGTGAGCTGCAGGACTATATGGAAATAGTCCATTTAGAAGCACTTCCTATACTTGATGTGCAGGTGCAAGACACTTGGAAATTCAGATTTCCGTTCATAAATAAAGATTTATAACTCGGAAACTCAGAGTTTAATTCTGAAATTTGGAAAAGAAAAATGTATGTAGTTCTTTTGTACCTCTATAGGTACCATAATTATATAATAGCGTTAAGTCCAAAATATGCAATTAAGTAATGAATTGAAAAAAAGGCGCCTCCTTGAACTGGCTGCTTTTCCGGAGGATTACATGCAGCAGTTTACTATAATCTGGCTGGTACACAGTATCGAGATTTTATTATTTGAATCGGCATTCAGGAAATGATAAATATTTGTTTTACTCGCAAGAAGAGTTCGATACTGTACGTTTTGTGTTGTTTTATTGCTATTATGGCAAATTTACTCGACTGTTTCTGTTTAAATTACCAGCAGAGTTGTCCTATTGTTAGTTTAATAAGAAATTAATTTGGGAAAAAAAGGGGAAAATAACCGTTGCGCTTTCACTTAAGTAAGCATTGTGCGATTTGGTACATATTTTTTAAATTACTCCTAACAAAATAAAATTAGCGTAATAACATATGCCTGGTACAATGCAACAATTAGCTATATCCTCTGTATAGTTGATTTAACATTATCCTTCTATTGTTGCAGTTGAAACCAAATTCATGGAAGTCGGACTCCAATTTAAACACAAAACGAATGAACAAGTACGTATTTGTAACACTGTAATTATTTAGAGCTGAATAATACGGTTCGCTGAATAAAAGTGAACTCGACTAATTAATTAATTGCCTTTTTTTCATTACTAATACCGTTAGGTTGTTTCATAAACGTGCTTGCATAATAAAACTGATTATTTCGTTGTTGTAGATACGAAGTCACATCCAAGGATGCCCGGCATAAAAATGGATTAGTAATAAAGTCAAAGTCGTCCGATTGGACCGACCACGAATTGGAAGTATCCGAAAAAGACGAAGTAATCCACCTGAAAAACCCCCAATTGAGTTTCATTTTCAACGATGACACGACACCAACGCCGCCACCACGGAAACACAAGAAAAGCATTCGTGAAAAAATCGAATCTGTCGCCAAAAACAGCATTCAAGCCTTGCAATCGAAGAAAACGAACGAGGATACGAAAGCAATCGAAAAGGAACCCAAACCGATGTTGGCAGAGGAACCCGTTTGCGTGAAGAAGACTATTTATTACGGCTGCCCATGTGGAAATGCAGACAGTTGTAGCCATAAACGAACACATAAACTCGAAAAACCACCAGAAAAGGAACCATCGCGCAAGAAGAACCTGTCCACGTCCTCCCTACCGACATATACCGAACTAAAATTCAGCGTTGCGAATTCCGACGCAAGTACCTTAAAACACATAGACTCCTCAGTGAGTACATCAGCAAACTCTTTGCCGGGCGAGGTAAAAAAAACTACCAACGCGGGAGGAGGTAAATTGGAAAACTACATGACCAGGTGTAGAAGCTTCGGCTCGCTCTTAAACAACAAACTGAAATCTCCAAAAGTCCCGGCGGATAACGAAAGTGACGACTCCTTCGGCGGACTGGAGGATTGGGATTTGGGAATCTTGGAGCATTACAATCCGAAGGATACCAGCTTGCCTCGTCCTCGCAAATTGAAGAGCGAAAAGGACGTCATTTCCGATATCGAAAAGTTGATCGTTCCCGACGAAGAACTGGAAGTAACGCCGCCCGTACGTCCGTTGCGTAGGTCCGAATCTTTACTAAAAAAGGAGATCGTCGAAGCGGCGGAGAGCAGACCGTCGCCCTCGCCACAGCTAACGGCCGACGATAACACGCCGTTGATTACCAGCTTCCCCACGCACGACGAGAATGGCAAGGTTGAGCATTCGAGCCTGATGAGAATTCTTCAGGAGTACAGTGTGAAAGATGTGGCGGTACGTAAATGGGACGAAAACGTGCGACATTTAAACGACAAGAACGTCACGGCCGATTTCTTAACAGTCGAGAAAGAGAGTGTTAGTTGAACTGTGATGGTATCGCCTACTCACATTCTGTATTAGCAATACAATGACGCGAAAAGACAATCTATGCCAACCATGCATTTGCCTTTTATGGCAAGGAAGTAAGCAAATTTTACTTTTGCGATGGGGTCAAAAGGTAGCAATGTATATATGTTTGTTGATGTACATAAAATAATTAGCTTTTAGAAATTAAGCCTAATTAAGTGTACTATTATGTTCATGTTTATTTTTTAATAGACTGGTTATCTTCAGCCTCCGCTGAATCAAACTTTCTTTTCCTTTTTCTTCATTATTCCTGCATTCCTGCTAGACAGTCAGTTTAAATAATTAAAACGTACAAACATTACCACGTCTGGGTTCACCCAGAATATGTAGGTACACTTTTCACTATAACCACCTGTTATATAACTAATTAATCTTTACATCGCTGCACCGACATCCTTCATCCAATTATCATCTGACACCATAATTTAAGTTAATAGGCAAAATGTTTACAAGTTCAGTTTTGCACGATGAACAATCTTTAACTTATTTTTTTCAGGGAATTGGGGGTAGATCAGAACTTGCATTTATTTGCAACGACTGAACCAATTTCCCCTGTGATTTTCACCATACAGCTTAGGTATATGCATTTGTCTCCTTATTACACTCTCAGTCTTTGTTTCTAAGTTGTTATGACGTGAAAATAAATGCATTATTATTATTATATTGGCTACCAAATGCGATACATCAATAAATACTTAAGGTCTAAATCTCATAAGAGATTGAAATAACACTCCCTACTCCTCCCAGTTGCCCATTGTATGAAGCATTTAAACTCGAAGAAAAATTATAGCATAGGTTATTTAAATTGAAGTTTTTCTTATTTTTGGTGCAGGGTAAACAACAGTAAAATGCACCGAAATCAAATGGTGAAAGCTGGGGTTTCGAGCAACAGTCCACACGAAGCGTTGATACTGTTGCTAATGGTGCAATTTTGCTAAAATTCGCCCTGCACCACATACCACCTCTGCGGTAGATTTCTCCAGAAACTGTGAAACGTAATTCACAGCCTCATTTCCTCCCCTGTTAATTGACATCCTTCGATTGGCGTACTAACTGGATTTGCGTCCGCCATTTTTAATTTTTTAATTATGTCAGCGTATTGTTTTTGATGAAAATTGTTCCATCTTCGAGTTGATTGATTTATGATGAGAACCAGGTTCCTCAATCACCGTGAATTATTCTTCGAGTTTTGTCATAAATTTATAGATAGATTCTTTTATTGTTGCAGCAACCAGTCCACCGTCCACGTAAATAACGACGATCAATTTTTCATTTTTGAAAATACGATAAAATAGACATGGCTCAGCTGTACTCACTCTCCTGTAAATTTCTTAGTCAATTTCACCGTACAAAAATGCAGTCTTAGCGTCGAATTGAGAGTTCCCATTTTTCTTCCGCTGCAATACCTACTCACAACTATTCGAATTGGAAGTCGCGCCACGGAACTAAAGGTCTCATTATAATCAATATCTTCTCGCTGACTAAACGCGTCTTAAATCGATAGACACGATATATCCAGCGATTGGAAATATATTTTCGCTTTTCCAGCAGTCCCAACAACTTTCCATGTCAAATTTCCTTTAAATGATGCTATTTCTTCGTTCATGGCGGTCATCCAATTCTTCTTTTCCGGGGATTTTATGACGTCGTTATAACTTTTTGGTTCCAGGAGAACATTATAACAACCTGTTTGGTGATAGAGATCCTTCCGATTTGTGAGATGTCGTTTTTCCAAGATATCTTCCGGTGCTTTCTAATGCAATTCCTCTTCTTCTGGAGTTGGTGTGCCCGTCTCTTGATCGACAAAATCTTCTTCTTGACCTTGCAAATTACCTTTATCGATGAAATCGTCTCCTTGGAATGTTTCTGAACCTTGGCTTTCTGCGTTACTTGTCGTCCGCGATGAAGTCGATTTCTTTGTTTTTCAAGATTTTCTTGACGTGCCGTTTGTTCTGCCATTTTATTTGGATGATCATCCTGAATAATTAACCTATTCGAACTCCGCATGCTTTTACAACTCCCTTCCGAGAGAATTCACATCTTTCGCTCAAGGATCTGACCTTCGTGCCCTCATGAGACATATACCACTCACGATGAGTTATGTGATCCGTAGTTCAGGAATCGATAATCCAAATCTCGCCATCTTTCGCGCTTAGAGCTTCACACACGAACGCTTCTTTCTTACCTTGTTTTCCTTTTTTTTGCAATTTTTCCGGATGTGCCCCGAACGTCCGCACCGATAGCATTTAATTTTATTCAAACAATTTTCATTATTATTGGCATTTTTCCCTGAAATTTTATATACAGAATATTTGCTACTTTTCTCACTGTCACCGCCGTATTTACTTTTTATTTTGACCTCACTAGAAAAAAGTGCGACTAACTCCTCCTGTTTTTCCGTTCGCTGCTGTAGACGTTTTGCTTCCGTTGTCAACACTCCTGGTTCGAGAAGGTTTGCTGTTGTTTAGATCTCGCCCACCAAGCTGGGTGAAGTAGGAAAGGACCGAGCATCTTCACCACGAGTAAAGTCTCGTCCGCTTTCACATTCAGTAAGATTCTGTCATGATCTCCCCGACCCCGGATCTGTCCCTGATGATAGACATCGAAAGAAGCAGAAACTCAAAATCATCCAGTCCGTGCCTATAGCAAACTATTCATGTAAACGATGCCGGATCGGCCTCTCTCCCAGATCTCCCGATCTAACACCTCGTGATTTCTTCCTTTAGACGTAAGTTAATGACCATGTTTATATACCCCCACTGGCAAGGATCTTTTATTCGGCTATACGTTGCTTGATTCGACTTCATTGATTTCTTCTAGATCTTTGTTTCGTTGTGACTCGTCTTCAACTGTTCGCCTTCAAGTCACGTCTCTGAGAATTAGAGGCAACATTCTGTGAATGGGACTCATAAGCTTCTGAAATCCACCTAGAGCCTAGTACCTTGGCTTTCAACTATGTTAACTTCTTTGGATTGTTAAACCTTCTCGTTCCTTCAAATCCTTAGGCTTCTTGACTTCTGTTGATATATTCAGCTTCTTCGATTTTAACATTGTGCGATAATTACAAATTTTTGATACAACGGCATACGGATGAAATTTAAAGACAATTTAATCGGTACATTTTACACGTAACAAAACCTAGTTATTAAATTGGGCAACATTAATATCAACACAGGGAACATTGGCTTTTTTATCCTCTGCATTTTCACGATACTTTTCGCGAAATTGAAGCCGGTTTGATTGGACCCGCTATTCATGCGAACCTTTCTTCCACTAAACCATCACGAAGTGAACGTTACCAAGGTATTGCAAAAAATCAACCGCAATATTGAAGTGATTTGCTTTCATATTTCTAAACGAAACGGTTAGATCAATTTTTTACGATAAAAGAATATTACCCGCGCCAATAACTGAGTTATTTTAATTTTTTGATCTGCATGAAGTTGTGGTCAGAGATTTTCTAGAATTTTCGAATTAAATTTGAAGTAATTGATATTCCTAAAGGAATCGGCCCGTGAGAATTATCTGCCGGAAACAGTTTTGTATTGTATTCATTGATAAGAATCGAATCCAAACAAAGGATTTTGGTTATTTTGTTTCTTTGATTGGGAATTTTGTTTTTAATTTCAGTGATGCCTTTCCTTTGGGATTGAAATTTCGTTTAGTATTCCAGTAATTCAGTAAAATAAAAATTAATTGTCATATTAAGATTTTTGTTAGTGCCTTAGAGATTCAATTTCATTTTAAGCAAGTGAAGACCCATACAATATCTAATATTACTAAAAAGATTCATCACGTTAAACCTATGCTAAAGACAAGAAAATGTGTCAAAAGGTTACCTCCATTACAGATGGACGAAAAGTGACAGCATAAACGTCTTCACTTTTGTGGATCGGGTCGTAGGGTGACACAATTAAAGCGCGATAAGACGCGGCAATTCATTGCTAATATGAAATTTAGAGGGCCAAATAGAAATGTTTATGATAAATTATTATAAAGGTAATGAAAAAGTGGACCTTACACAGTGGCAAATTAATATGTGAAGTGTAACGACACTACGATGTGATTTAGTTTATCGTCACGTGCCTTAAAATAAGGAATAAAACGGTTACAATAGAACATACTGTAAACTTTAAATTGCGATTCCTCCCATCGGAATCAAATGTGTAAGCTAGAGTTACGTCTTTTGCCTCAGAGTAATATCGAGAGGTAGGATAATAAGGCAATTGCACTCCAGCCACTTGTGTGCATAAAAGCTCGCGGGAGAAAGGAGATTTTGCATGGTTATAAGATTACCATCTTATGAAGACATGGTTTCAGACTAGTCGCAGTATGTAACCCCTTTGTGACAAGTAAAATAAGCCAATATAAGTTCTACCAAAGTGATTTAGATAAAGTTTTCCGAAGGGACAAGAAACATTGTTTAATAAAAATGTATTAGTTTCGATTAAACGTTAAAAACTCACTTAAGTAGGGTTTTTGTTTAACTTCCCTTCTCATTCTGCTTTCCATCAGCGTCAAAGCTATGACGTACAAAAAGCGTTTAGTGTAACGTCAATTTTCCGAGCGCAATAATCCAAAGTGTACCCTTTTTTGTAGTAAAATGCAAGTCGCGTATTCTCTAAAACTTCCTTATAAGTTTCCGTTTCCTTAAAAGTTTACACAATGATATTTTGTTTTCAATTCAAGAAAAGGCAACAACTTTTGTTACACAACATAATTGTTATTAAATTTTTCATCCTGGCAACGGAAAAAGTTGCTGCAAGGAGGCGGTCATTCTTTTATTGAATTGCACTTCTAATTCCTTACCCAGATGGCAGACTGCTTGCTAATTCAAACAGCTGCTACATGTTGAACGACCAATGCATTTAAATGTTCCATTTGCTTTCGAAAAGTTGCGAAAAGATGGTTCACCGTAGAGTAATCACCTAGATATGACTGTAAGCGGAAACTTATCTTTCTGCTGTTTAATTTGAATATCGCACTTTTACTAAATTATTCATTTATTCATTATTAGAGCTTTGCATCTTTCGCTGCGAAAAATGTTTCCCGTTTCAAACTGCAATGCCACCACCGTGCTGTAGCATTTATGTTTAGGTATTAGGTCAAACTCTTCTTTGAGAAATGAAATACGTGAGATTTATGGTAATGGCGACGTATTAGTGACAAGGTACATATTCGTTTCACGGCGCTCTTTTATGTGTATC